ATAGATGTGGCATACCACCGCCTTTGCCCTATTCTGTCAGAAGCAAGTCAGAGATCCTGCCTACCCTCAAGAGGAAGGGATTAAACAAAGGTGTGGACATTAAGAGGCAGGGTTCATTGGGAGCCACCTTAGGCACCACAGGCCCAGGTGCAAACCATCAAGGCTCAACTGCCATCCGTCACTCAGGTTGGTCCCTCTCTCTTCTCTGTAGGAGAGTTCTTCATGGTTCCAAGACAACTTCCAGTGCCCGCCGGAATCAGGGTCTCTGGGGGCCGTCCTGCAAGAAAGGGGGAAAGCCTCCCTGCTATGCCTGGAACAGAAGTCCATGCAGTGTGGTTGGCCAGGACACATGCCTGGCCCAGTCACCAGGAGAATATCATGCACCGATGGGCTTATGTTAATTAAGACCCACATGGGGTCCTGGGTGTGGAAGTGATCTTTCCTGATCATGTTAGAGAGAGGATGAGACCTCATCAAAATTAGGGTTCTGTTGGGAAGGAAGAAGAGAATGGATGTCTGGTAGATAACCAACAGTGTCCACTACAACTGCATAGAAATTACCAGAAAAACAATGCCATACACGAGGAAACGTTCGGGGTTGGTTGATATAATTATTATCTTGATTGTGGTGGCAGTTTCATGGACATTTACCTCTCTATCAAGACTAATCAGACTGTGGATTTTAAACATGTGCCATTGTTGTATATCAATTATACTTCAAAAGAGCTGTTTTTAAAAGCATGCCATAGCTCTAGACATTAATCTACAAAAAGCACAAAAGATAAAGCAAGTATTCTTCTGGTTTTCAAAGGCGATTGTCTGGTTATTCAGAGAAGTCATTCATGTCATCCATGTATGAGTCAGGTGTTGACTTACATGTTGATTGTTTCACATTGGTGGCACCCACGAGGGTAAACAAAAACATGTTCATTTACAACATTCTTATTGCTCCTCAGTTGCAATAAGAGGTTTGTTATAGATACAAGTGTTTTTGCAAAAGTCTGTGAAAGCCCCCAGTGAGAATTAATTGGCCATGTGGATTATATAGTAGAGTAGTGCACAGCTTATAATTTAAGAAAACAAGGTCATGTTGTAGGTAAAATTCAATATGCTCTGACAACAAGATTCGGCATGAGAGAGTCATTTTCAAGATCATTTTCTTTCTTCCCTCCACCCCAATGAAGGATGGTCCAGGAGGCCTAAAGGAGAAGGGAACCCTTGGTGGGTGTGAAGGACTCAGCCCTTAACTTTGGCTGCAGGCAAGGGGGAAGGCAGCTGGCCCAGGAAAGACTCACTTGCCTGGTTATCACATCCTTTCTCTTGGCAGCACTTGGAGTGAGAGAATGGAAAGAGACTTTGAAACTGTGACCTCTGGGAAACAAATCCACATTTTTGAGAAGAGGCCAGGTAATTGAGCATTAGCAGCTCATCATCTCCAAGTTGGCTCATCTACCAGAAGGCAAGCCAGGAGGCTGAAGCTGTTCTCTGGGAAGCAGAGTTCCCACTATGTGCCAGGCACTGTGACCCTACTGTGTGTGATGGTCAGAAAGGGCTCCAAGGGCAAGGACGCATACCACATGATTTTGCTCCACCCCCCAGGAACTCCTCATGTTCTAATGGCAATCTTTCATCATGTCTGATTCATCGTGCGTGTCCAAGTTTAGGATTTAGGACAGTTGAACAAATGAGCTAACAGGCTAACACCTGTATACATAATTTACTAGTTATCCATTGATGCATAACAAATTACTCTAGCATTTTATAGCTTTAAAAAACAATAAAATTTTTTTGTTTGTTCTCTTACACAGTTTTTTTTAAAATATATTTTATTGATTTTATACAGAGAGGAAGGGAGAGAGATAGAGAGTTAGAAACATCGATGAGAGAGTGTCATCGATCAGCTGCCTCTTGCACACCCCTTACTGGGGATATGCCCGCAACCAAGGTACATGCCCCCGACCAGAATCGAACCCGGGACCCTTCAGTCCCCAAGCCGACGCTCTATCCATTGAGCCAAACCGGTCCCGGCCACAGTTTCTATGGGCCATAAATTTGGGAGCAGCTTAACTGGTTGGGTCTGACTTAAGATCTCATGAGACTGCAGTCAAGATGAAGGTAGGCAGCCTTTTGGGGCTATGAGGCAGAAGCGATATGCTGAGGAAGATAGAGCAGCAATGAAGAGACTGGGTTGCCAGTGGCCACCATTGAGAGGTAATTGCTAATCCTCTTCATTTGTCTTTTTCTTTTTCTTTTCTTTTTTTTTTTTTTGTAGAGTGTGCTTGGAGGAGAAGACTGCCCATAACTACTTAAGGGTGAAGCCGTGATTTATTTCTCTCACTTCTCCCTTTCAGGGACATTTACTTCCTCTAAAAATCAAGTGTGGTGTCCTCAAGCCTTCTGCGTGAGAAAGCCTGGGTGGGACCAGGTCGGTCCGTGTGAGGAAGTCTGAGCTCATGCTGGTCTTCTTAGCCACAGTCCCAGCCTGGGCTTCTGAGCTCATCTCAGTGAAGGGTCCGAAGACAGGTGTGCCCTCAGCAGGAGGCTCCTGGGACCTCAGGTAAGAGCATTCCCAAAAGTGGACTCACTTCCTGAACGAGCCCCGGTGAGAGTGGCTGAGTGCCGGGAGAGGACCGCTCTGGCTGCTTCAGCAGCACAAAGCACAGTTCCCGTCTCAGCCCCACTCTTGTCCTCTGTGTGACCTCGGACGAGTTTCTCAGCCTCTCTGGGCCCACGTTTCCTCTTCTGGAAGATGGATGGAGGCACACGGCCCTCACAGCTGGAGGTGATCAAGAAGGTGGTGAACAGTGTCTGTTGAATATAAGGCTGGTGACAAATGTTAGTTTCCCTTCCTTGACTTACTTTTGTCCCTTTACTTGTTTTTATAAGAGTAGACCATATGCCCAGCTCCATGGGTGCTTCCGTGCCTTCCATCTTGTGCCTTTTCTGTGTCAGGGGAGCCCAGAGAAATGTTTTGAGAAGTTTGAATCCAACTCGGTGGGCCGTAATTAATACTGCCTTGAGCAAGGTGATGTTGAGGCTCAGAAAGGAAGATGTGATCTCCCTCCTGCCCTGGGAGTCTTGTCCACAGAAGTCTCAGATGCTGGCCCTGCATGGCTGATCCTCACAGGGACCTTGGCCTAGGCCAGGGCTGGCTACGTGACATGCAGGACCCCATGCAAAATGAACATGGGAGACCCCTTGCTCAAAAAGGATGCAAATTTCAAGACAGCTTCTGCTGAGTGTTAAACGAAGCACGGGACCCTTCTAAGTGTGGGATCCTCTAAGCCTGGGCCTGGGACTACATAGGTGGCGTGCCCATGAAGCTGGCCCTGACGTGGGGTGTCCCCCACCAGCTATTTTGTCTGGTCTGGGCAGCCCCAGGGAAATGGAAGGAGACCTGGTTTCCAAAGCTGGCTCTCACAGTGAATCACTGAGGCACCCAGTGCTCTCTGTGCCTCATTTTTCCCATCTGTGAAATGGGGACAATACGCACTATGTTATTCGCTGACATGATACGCCAGGAGGCGCCTGATGGGTTGATATGCTCAGAACTAAGACCTCGTGGCTTGAGGACCCACAACGCTTCAGGACTGGAATTAGCAAGACAAAGTCTTCATACACTGTGGATTGACTTAAACAGGAAAGAGTTAAAGGAAAGGGGTGTCTGACTTACTCATCTGAAGTAGAACCTGTGGGAGAGATGTTTCCCAAATATTTAAAAAATTCCAATTCACTGTGGATTGATGTTTTTTATAAGTATAATAAAAACCACCAGAAAAAATGCAATAAAAAGGTTCCGGCATAAAATTAACTCATCCTGTTGCCATAAGTATTTCTATTCTCTCAGTTTCTATGCTCATTGTGGTGCAGACTAATGTTTGTGAGCCTGTGCAGGAGCCCAGGGCAGTGGTCGGCAAACTCATTAGTCAACAGAGCCAAATATCAACAGTACAATGATAGGAATTTCTTTTGAGAGCCAAATTTTTTAAACTTAAACTTCTTCTAACACTACTTCTTCAAAATAGACTTGCCAAGGCCGTGGTATTTTATGAAAAAGCCACACTCAAGGGGCCAAAGAGCCGCATGTGGCTCACGAGCCGCAGTTTGCCAACCACTGGCCCAGGGCACACTCTGAGTAGGACTGATCTCCTCACCGCTCAGTGTGAGCCAGGAGCATTCAAATCACCTGGGAATGTGCTAGAAATGGAGCATGTTGGGCCCCATCCTGCTCACACTGAGCCAATCTGCTTTTTTAACAAAATGGCCCGGTGATTCATGTGCATGTTAAAGTCTGGAGTGACACCCGAGGTAGCTGCGGCTCAGGAAACCTGTTGGATAAAGGAATTAACCAGAACCTCTCCCGAAATTTCAACTTCTCCAGGCCCAAGAGCTGATGGCATAGCCTCATTCCGGTGAGCAGGAGCAGCCACATTGCAAGACTCAGTGTGAACATGAAAACGTACAAAACAACATTGAGACTTTTGAGATGGGCTCAATGGTTGAGCATCAACCTATGAACCAGGAGGTCACAGTTCAATTCCCAGTTAGGTCACCTGCCCAGGTAGCAGGCTCAATCCCCAGAGTGGGGCGTGCAAGAGGCAGCCAATCAATAATTCTCTCTCATCATTGATGATTCTATTTCCCTCTCTCTCTCTGAAATCAATAAAAATATATTTATAAAAAAAAAAAAAAAGAATTTCAAGATGGTGACAGCTTGGCCCAGGGCCCTTCTGTGTGACCACAAGGGGCCTGATGAGGTAGTAAAGGGTTGGTCATTCTGGACCCATTTGCACTGGCTAAATTATGAGATTTCTGCATTGTTTTATTCATTACCAATCATTATCATTCAAAAGCTCCAACCCTCATCCTTTTGAATTTCTTTTTTTTTTCTTTTCAGTGTGCAAATATAAATGGTTTCCAATGGCTATTATTCCAGTGTAAATATTCTTTTAAAAAAATACACATATGTATGCCTAGTAAAATGCGAACGGAAGCTCTGCATAGGGAAAGACAACTTGTGCTCATTTGTTTTATTGACGTGTATAGACTTTGATAGATTGCATTACAACACTGACTGCTATATTTCTGATCAAGATTTCGTTCATGTTTACTCTAGGTTTTTTCTTCACAATGAAAACAGACTCGTGCCAGTGTTTAGTAACCAATAATATCAATTCGTTCCCATGGAATGACACCTTTATTAAGCTAAGAATCTCAGGTCACACACAGAGCATTCACAGTGCAGGAGGTCACAGTTATTGAAAAGTAAAAAGCGGGATAAATAGATTTACTATTTACAACTTTTCGGCTCACGGATCCTGCTCCGTCCGAGGAGAGTGAACAAAGGAGGTAGGATTCGGCCCAGTACACCGAGATGTCATGTGGGGGACTCAAGTGATGTCTAAGGGCCCCCAAAGTTCTTAGCTTGGGCTGTTTGTTTAGGGGTTTCTCTCTGGGCACAGGGCTCTCTGGTTCTATCTGCCTGCTATTGGGCAGGTCATGGCGGGGCCGCAGGAAGGTCACACGGCCGGCTCTGTAGAAACGGTGCCCAGCCCGCCTCCTGGGCATCCGGGCAGTGCGGGCCTCTCCTCCCCCCACCTTCTCTTTGGCAGCTTCTGCCTCTGCTCCTGGGACTGGCCCCATCTGGCTGGCAGCCCTCTTTCCTCTCTAGGTAATCAAGGCTCTCTTTGTGTGAGGACACAGAGCATCCACTCCCTCTGGCAGCTGCTGGACCAGAGACACACGCAGAGGGCGCCTGCCAGGCAGAGTGCGCTCTGAACCAGACACCAGCCGTCCCGACGAGCAGTTCCCGAGGAGACTCCCCAGGAGCCGGCCACAGCTCTCTCCACTGTCCCCACATATGCTTAAGCCAAGCCACGTGGGGGCAGCTCCAGGAAGTGTCCTACAGCTCGGAAGGGTACCTCTGGGGGTGAGGGCAGTGGTAACCCCGTGGCCAGAAAAAAACAAAACATTAGAATACCTGATCTGAAAAAACAGCTGCCTTGCTCACCCAGCCACCTTTCCTGGGAGGAGAGGCCTCGCTCCTCTGTTGAAGGGGCTTGGTGTCCGTCTGGATGTCTGGGAATCCCAAGGGGACCCTCCCTGTATTCCTACCACGCAGCTAGAAGCGGAAGCTGCACACACTCTCTCTTGACAGCTTCAAACAAATTGTTCTGCAGCGGCGGCGGGGCGGGCAGGGCACAGACTTTCTCCGGGATTAAGGGTTCCGTTGGCCATGACTGTGGAAAAGCCCCAACCCACATGCAGCATAAAAAGCAACTGTTTGAATTCTGGCAGCGGTGGGAAGAGGTGTGGATCATGCCTGTATTTGTGATCAGGCTTTTACCCAAGCAACAGCCAACCAGACCCACCGATCTACCGAAGGCCACACAGCCACGGCTGGACTTCCCTTCCCCTGGTACAGAAAGTGTCTTCCACGCTCATCGCCCCCGTCTGTGCAAGGACGCCAGGCAGCGGGCATTCTCCTAGACCAGAAGAGAGGGTTTCTCGGGCCCTGCTGCCAAGAGGGGGAAGGCTCCAGGACCTCAGCCGCTAGACAGACACTGAGAGGCGACGAGAAGCCTAGAAATACATAGACAAAAGGTGATGCCAAGCCAGTCCCTGGAACCCGGAGCCATTTGTCATTGGAAAGCTAGAATTCTCTAAACCCCCATAAAAGTTCAAAGCTCTAAGGCCACTCCTCTGGCTTTGCTGTTGGGACAGAAAAACTAGGTCCACCTGGGAGGCGGAAGAGGAGAAAAGCACCCCTCCTCCTGACTGCACGCGGCACCAGCTCCCCAGGGTCGGGCAGCGGGGACAGGCTGGGTGGGCCTTCTCCTCTCGGCCACCAGCCTGAAGTCAGTGCACAACCAGCGTCCCAATTTAGTCTTTCGTATTAAAAAGCAAATACCACCACCTAAATGCCCTTTGGAAATCTGTGCCCCTGAGGACCGTGCCCTCTGGGGGGGCTTCTCTGCAGCACAGCCCAGGGGTCCCCACCCACCAGGTTGGCAACAGGCAGGGCTCAAAGTGAGGGGCAGAATTTGTCCCCCACTGTGTCCTCTGCCCTGTGGGCTGGGCCAATGGAAGGACCCACGTGACTGACAGGAGGAGGATTTACCGAGGGCTGAGGGGCCCTTCCCCATGCTTTGAGGAACTGAGGGAACCTTGAGGGGCGGCAGAGTGCAAAGCCAGAGAGAGTAGGTGCTCACATGTTGTGGGGGGCCCAGACACTCTGGGTGAATCCACAGGGAGAGAAAGGGAGGGAGGGAGACAGGGAGAGAGGGACTGGGGAGGCAGGGAGTTGGGTGAGGAGGGATGATGACTTCCTGCCACCGAAGAACCCCCCAGAGAGCATTTTCAGAAACTTCTGGAAGTTCCTATGGGCACGATGTGACAATGAAGCTCCCAAGATTTGGATCATCTCAGATGCCCTGCACACATCTGCTAACTGCCCGAAAGGGAGGCAGGCAGGCATGGAAGCCATGTTGGAGGCACTAGAACAAGCGTGTCAAACTCAAGGCCCGCGGGCCGTATGCGGCCCATAACGTGTTTTTGTGGCCCAGTCAATATAACGGTATGTAAGAAACATGTTAATAAAAATTTCGTAACTTAATTTTTACAATATCCTATTATATGTAATTATTAATAATGAACTACAACACTTGCTAATGACCGGTTACTATAATCGTGTTGCATTCATTTCCCTTCCTCACCTTCCACGCAGGTGCACCATTTCTCTCCGCTAATACCAACAGCGAATATTTTAGCAGCCAATGGCCACATCATTAGTCTTGGACTGACTTGTTTGGTGTACACAACAGGAAATATTTTGCTTTTGGAGAAGAAAAATAGGTTTGTTTGCGTTACCCTTATTAATTTGTGCAGTTATTCAGTGTCCGGTAAGTTAATGTTCAAGAAAAAAATATTGATTTTTATTAAAATGTTCTATTATTTTATGTTAACCATGACTCATTTATTTCAGCCCTTTGTATTCAGCATGTCTCTATTGAAATAAACCTACATTTCTATGAAAATTGAAGCTTTTGTTTTCTTGCGGACCACATACACTTCAGCCTTATCTGGCCCGTGTGAGCCTTTGAGTGTGACTTGCTTGCACTGGAGGGACTGAGAATATTTACTTCATGGCACATGCGAACAACCCCCTGATGATTGTTACCCCACCAGGCATGTGCTGGAGCTGTCACATTCTCCAGCCGGGGAGGGTCATGCCAGAGGGAACAGAGGTTGGTGGAAGGGGAGAGACCACGCCCAGCCCTCAGTGCCCTCAGGGTCAGGCGGGGGAGGGCACCATGCACTGAGGGGCACCAGCACCAGCTGCAGGGCTTGGCTACGCGCTCCCTGACTCCCGGGGGAAAGTCCCCAAATGTGACAGCCGACCTCGCACTGCCCAGCACGGTGACCCACTAGTCCATTTCATACCTCCCAGTCCCTCTCACCTGTGCGCACCCCACCCTCAGGGCAGGGAGGGGCCCAGGGCTCAGGGAAGAGAAAGACTCAGAGGAAAGAAGGACCCACTCCCCCCTGGTCCCACCTTGGGGTGACTCTGGTGTCCCTGAGTGCTGGGCTCCTGCAGATACAACAAGGCTTTCACATCCTCATCCCGGGAAGACGCCCTGGAGCCTGGCAGCCCAGGAGGAGGGTTCTCTGGTCGGGGTCTCCATGGCCGCTCTAGAGAGGTGTGCACACCGGGCCTGGGTTAGCTCGGAGGGCTGGTGCCCAATCAGCTGCTCAGGTCCGCAAAGGCCGGGGATTGGCAGGCAGAGCGAGAAGTCGCCCTGACAGGTGGCAGCAGGAGCTGATGGAAACTCACCAGGGCAGCAAGGCCTGTGCCCAGGAATGGGTGGGTGGACGGACGGACGGACAGAAAACACAGAGGCCAGCTGATGGTGGCTCATGGGAAGGGTGGGAGGAATCTGACCCCCTCCCCCCACCCTCCAAAATGCCCTCACCCATTCGTCTCTCTCCGCAGCTGACCCAGAACTTGCCTTCAGGGCCAGTTCTCAAGACATCACACACCTTCCACTCGGGCTGGTTAGGGCGAATTCCAAACCAGCCATCAGAAGGAACACCTGCTCCTGCTTCCACAGACATTTTCTATCCGAGGGCAATTGTTTGTTTTCCTTTTCTGTTGCTCCCCCGCCCCCCCACTACAAGAGCTAAATTAAAAAATTTTTAATTGCTTATTTTGGTAGCAGAGTAATTACCCCATGCTAATTAGCTTGGGGGAGAAAAGGGATATTCCTGCATGGGGAAAAAAGCATTATTTTAAAACGAAGGCCTAATTAATCAAGCAGTCGTTTAAATGTGTGATGGAAAAATTTTTTGAAAAGAGACATTTTCACCTACAGTGTATATATCGTTTCCTAAGCACGATAAATGCATCAAGGCTTTAAGGAGGTAACACTGGCACATTCAAGTCAAAAGAGAATTAACCGGGAGTGCTCTGCATGTTAAACACATTATTTTTAGTCTCAAACGCTAACTGCAGTGTACTTCATAAATGCGGGAGGATTCCGCTGAGGAAAAGGCCGGTACCTAGGAAGCGTTCTCTGAACACGATACACACGTTCAGACTAGTGACACTGGCAGGGATAGCATCCTGGGGCCATGCCATGTGGCCTGCGCCTTGCAGCTGAAACTATTTCCCTTTATCAGGAACAATGTAGGGACGTTGGATAGGGAGAGATATTGGGGTACGAGCTGGGGCACCCAGGAATCAAGTGAACATCTGATGGAGTTTTAACTCAAATGATAAAAACCAACCACAAGGGCAAAATCATACTCACACCTGCACAGCCTGAGCCCCCATTCCCCAAGGATCGCCACCCCGCTGGACTGGCGGAGCCACAATGGGTGGCAATCTGGAGTTCAGTCCCTGCTCTGCTACTTACTGTGACCTAGAGTCACTTCTCCAAGACGAATTTTTCCGTTCAAAGGGAGAAAAATCCCTACTTATGTAACGGGGGGAGGAAGAGAAGGGGGTTGAGAATGAAGATAAGAGACAGATGCGCTTTGAAACCCAATGGGTCTGTAAAGATGGAGGCCCCGGGCCAGCTGCTAGGATGCTAGGAGGACAGAGTATCTGGGGCCCTCGGAACCCCTTGCATCTTAAGTTAATACCGATGACCTATGGCCTCCCCGCCTCTCACTTAGCTAATTTCTTAGGAAAATCACCTTTATCCTCAACTTGAAGGCCACGGAGACCCCCCATCTAGATAGAGCAGCAAAGAGAAGCCTTCATGGGGTGTAGCTGCTAACACTGCTATCAATCCAGGAAGGAAGCCTGGAGGCAGAGTCCAGGCCCAGCGTAGGCTCATGCTCACTGAAAGGACACACGCTTGAACACTTCCTCCTGCTGAAATCCGAGAGGCCTTAGAGATCTCAGCCCCGAACCCCACCTTGGGTCCCAACTGCTGTGTGTCCGGAAGGAACCGGCCACTGGATTTCACCGCACCACTACCGGGAGTCATCACTAAAAACCTTCCTTCCTCTCACCACCACGGGTGATTCCCACTCAGTCTTCTGTGCAAAACAGCTTCCTGTTAAAAGTGCATCGAATCGGACAGACGCCTGCGATAGGAACATTACAAAAATAAGAATACCTCTGTACATACAAAATGAATTGTGCTCTCTTTTCAGAAACCACAAATGGTTTGTGTTCATAAACCTTTTTAATATATATATATATATATTTGAGAGCCCGGAAGCGATCGGAAATGAATATTTCTCTATCTCTGAGTCAGCCTCCCGCCCTTGGCCTTTCCCGTGGAGCAAGCTGTGAAGGTTCAAGAAACTTAGCTCTAACCATTCCAAGTCCCGGTTCCGGGATCTCTCTCTTCTGGTTGTGAACCGAACGCCAGCCCACCCCTTCCCGCTCCACGTGCGATGAGATCTGCTGGGCCGATCAACCACTGGGTCTTTCAACGGGATGGTTCTGAGAGTCGGGCATGAACAGAGCGACGACAAACCCCAGGGGACCTCGCACCACCTCGCACGGAAGGTCCGGAACGTATGGCTGTGAACCACGAGCTCCGCCTCTGCATCAGCGCCCGTTTCGAGGTTTGTCTCTCACTCCTTCCCAAGCTCCAAGCCACGTGTGTCAGCGTGTTCACACACCACCACACACACAGGGCCCGTTCTCCATGAGTGTTACCGTGTTGGTCCCCATTTCAAGTATGATGTCCTGCAGGACATTTCGTTTTCAATAGATCATTGCTCCGTTCTCTGAAATGCATCAGTACAAGGAGGAGAATATTGTGTTCTTGCTTTCTCGCTTCTGCCGTAAAAACAACGATAAACAAACCTGAAAAGCTGTTCCCCTTCTCCCAGTTGGTCTGGAGAAAGGGGTAGGGTGTCTGCCGTCACAGCCTCACACGCCTGGCAGGAGGAGGCCCCTGCTCCAGCGGAAGTCAGCTCTCCTTCCCTTTGCAGCAAACGTTGCCTAAGCGACGCCCCCCTCTGGCCCGCAGGAGACACTGGAGGACAACACTCCCATTTTGCAGGTGCCCCAGGAGACGTCACTGTCACCGATCCCCCATCTCTCAGGAACGGAAAGACAAACCGCACCCAGAAGTCCTTCTGACCCAAGTGTCCCAGAGACGGGGCACGCGCCACACGCCTGTGACTTCAAAGATGCTCAAATAGCGACCCCTGCATCTGGCCTTCGGCAGGGCAGAACTAGCTCCGAGGAGGAGGAGGATGCCCGGCAGCCTGGTCCAAGGCCCAAGACCACGATGGCTCTTCCTTCCAGTGTGAGAAAAGACAGCAGCGGCTGCCCGTGCGGGGGACGCGCGGGGAGGAGGCGCGGGGAGGACCTAGGCCGGCGTCCACACAGCTCCCGGCGGGCGGGCCCTGCTTTAGTCATCTTCTCGGCACATGGGCAGGTTGACGAAGGTGAAGACGTTGAACTCGATCATGATGGAGAAGCACAGGAAGATGGCGTAGAGGACCAGCACGTAGACGCCCAGCTTCCAATCCAGCCTCCATTTGTTGAGATGGATGCCCAGGACCTGGCGGGAGAGAGGGCGACGGTTGGGTGGGTGGAAGAGGGAGGGGGGGGCAGAGAAATACAGACAAAAGGCCTCTGTACTGGGAAACCCTGTCACTTCCTCCAAAGTGCGGGCTGGAGCAGAGGGGTGATGCCTGCAGGCTTCAGACTTGTCCACGCCAGGCGAGACCCGGCCCGGCCCTGAGGGACACACGCTAGCTGCCCGCAGGGAACAGGCCCTCCCCATCCCAGCCTCCATCAACTACATCTTCGGCCAGGCCCCCCCTTTGCTTCAGAACTTGGTAACCTCGGCCTCCTTCAGCGAAACTTCCAAGGCTCCTGTTGGCCCACTTCAGCTTGGACTGCCTTCTCCTACGTGAGCATGTGTATGCGTGCATGTGTGCATGTGTGTGTGTGTGTGTGTGTGTGTGTTTGGAGGGACAGTTTGGAGCACACCCTCATTCTAAATCCACACCTCCCTGGCAGGGCTTTCAAACACTCATAAGTGACCGGGTAGATCCAACGTCATGACGCATGAGGCTTTTTTTTTTTTTTTTTTTTTTTTTTTTTTAAATGTAAAAACTCACGGTGAGCGCCACGGAGCCCAGCAGCAATACCACGGAGTAGACCAGGCCCCGGCTGTTGATCTTCACCTGCAGAGAAAAACACGGCCTGACT